GCGGGGTGGTGGTACCTACCCGCGCGGACTCACAAGTGCTCCTACCACCAGCTACTTGAAGGAAGGGTTTATTAAACAGTACATATCGTGTTTTTTTTTTTATTTCCGACGTTCCGAATACTTTATTACAGTTTTCGTGGTGGACTAGAACACTTTACAGTTTTCGTGATAGATCAAGTGGAAGACTACGAAAACTGTAAAGTATCACGCACTATATATAGGTGGTTATTAGATTTACAATTACTGTTAAAGCACATTGTCAACACATTACTTATATTGATGTTACAAGGTTTCGTTCGTAAAATATCTTTTGTTCCGTAAAATCGTGATCTTTGTATAGTCAATATACTGTTGCCGACTATTGTCTTTTGCGAACATTGCGAAACCTGTTCAAAAAGCGTCATTGAGTATTTTTTTTTACTATAGTATGCTGCTCGCCGGTCGAAATTCGTCTCTAAGCATGGATACCTAAAGATTTGGTAATTTCCACGTTTTCTTGGAAAAACGTTTTGAAAACATTTTTTAATTGGTAAAATTAAATCTTTTTAAATTAGAAAAATGAAATTCGTTTATTTTATTTTACCTGCATATATTAAAAGAGTTAGGAGCCTTGTACTTGCACTTGTAAAAAAATATTTATTAAATAGCAAACTGAATAATTAATTTAAACTTTTTCTTCCTCTGTTGATACCACTCATATTAAAACAAAATTATAAAAAAATATTCTACTGTCATCGATCCTTGATACGTAGGCAAATTAAAAAATTCATCGGACTTAAAGTCGGCGAGAATGACGTTCAAAGGATAAGTTACATACAAACAGACATCCACGCCAAGCTAATAAAATCGTGTTAAAAATAAATTAAATTCAAATACAGAAAGATTTACAGATAGATATTTTCAGTTGTTTTTGTTACCTACCTAAGCTCATAGCCTTGAGAGGCTATTTCAGCGTAAACGTAACTAGTAGAGCTCACGGGGCTCAAACCTGACGACGTTGCTAACACGAACCCTAGCAAGAGCCGTGCTTCGCAGAATCTACCACCGGATCGGAAAAGCGACCCACTGAGAAGATTCGGCGAGAAACTCAGATAGGGCACGACGAGTTTTTTAACGTTCTCGATAGCGTAAACGTTAACTCAAATTTGTATGAAGTTGGAACGTTTGCCTACGTTTGCCGCTAGGGGCGCTGTTCCAGCTGCATAAAAAATTAAGTTAACTTTTACGCTATCGAGAACGTTAAAAAAAACTCACACTAAGCACACGGAAGTCTTCAGCGGTCTCGAGACTCGACACGCGTGATGCTTGTTTGAAAGCGATCAGAACGAGAGCGCCGCTTCGCAACACGTGTTTGTGTTATTGCACTCGCGAATAGAGGTCGTTCGGTTTACGCGGGCTTAGGTGAGCGGACCTTGACGATTGCAGCAGAACATTCATCGTGTTCAAACTTAAGCTCGAATATATGTAGGTACGTCATTTTATTTTTTATTGCTAGATAGGGGACGAGCTCACAGCCCACCTAGTGTTTTTTTTATTGCCCTTGTAGGCAGACGAGCTTACGGCCCACCTGATGGTGAGTGGTTACCGTCGCCCATGGACTTCAGCAATGCCAGGGGCAGAGCCAAGCCGCTGCCTAAAGTTAAGTGGTTACTAGAGCTGGTTAACTAGTTGTCCTCAAAAGTCCACAAAAAGTGATAGTGACCACGCGACTCTTATTAATTACAAATAAATATATATTTTCTGTAACCAGTAGCGCCACCATGGATGTTTCCTTTGATATCCGCATTCTTGATTTTTTTTTATTGCTAGGTGGGTGGACGAGCTCACAGCCCACCTGGTGTTAAGTGGATACTGGAGCACATAGAAATCTACAACGTAAATACCGCAACCCACCTTGAGACATGAGTTCTAAGGCTGTCTAACTAGGGCTGTCCCGCCCTTCAAACCGAAACGCATTACTGCTTAACGGCAGAAATAAGCAGGGTGGTGGTACCTACCCGCGCGGACTCTCAAGAGGTCCTACCACCAGTTAAAACTTAACATCAGGTGGGTCGTGAGCTCGTCCACTCAACTAAGTAATATAAAAAAATTTAGATCGTTTTTAATAAAAACAACATGTTCAGAAAGTAGGGTACAATCTTCTTTAATTTAAAACCCAAAACAACAAATAAAAAAGAAAGTCTCCTACATATAAAAGCATAACGGATGTCCTTATCGCTAAAACCGATCTCCTCAAAAGGACCGTTACACGCACAAGAATTATGAAAACAAAACGAATCGCGGTGCGTCTTACTTACAATTTGTAATATTTTGACCTAAATATGTGGAGAATTGGGATCGCAGCGCATAAAATAAAACTTCCACTGTTCCAAAATCTTCTGTTATGATAATAAAAAAATATCTAAAACACCTTTTTTACGCCTTAAACGTCTTCGACATCTTCCTTTTCTCTGTCATTCTCCTCTTTTCCCTTTCTTTCTCTTACTCACATCTCAACGCTCCCATTCAGACTCTTTTCATACGTTCCGTTCTTGCCAATCCTACATTTATGTAGTATTAATATAGGAGTAACTAAAATCGCCTAGTAAAGTTCTGAAATATAAGCGAGACACTTATTGATAGAAAAACAAATGATTGGATGGGTAAAATACGTGATTGTTTGGGTCAGAAATAGTTAGGATGGTTATATGTACCTACCCGTGTCCAATACATCCTGCTACTATACCACTTAATGTTCGTCGTCGTAAATTTGCTGGTAGTTCATTCATGGTACTTTTTTCCTACCTTGTAGCCTAAGAGGCTATTCCAGCTACGACCGGACGGTTAGGTGAGCTCACGGGCTCAACCTGAGAGAATTTGCTAACACTAGTCCTAGCAAGAGTAGTGCTTCGCAGAATCTACTACCAGATCGGAATCGCGACCCACAGAGAATATATGGCGAGAAACTCAGTGTGCTTTATCTATAGGTTAGTTCGCTCGTCGAAATCTATAGTAGGTACCTTGGCTAGTGTTGGCCAGTGACGAAATCGTCTCCATTAAGTCGGATTTCTTTATTATTAAAAACTATTATAAATATGGTGGTGGCCCGGGATTTAATAGTATTATTATAAATTCATACACTTTACTATATTTGGCCTATTTCGTTAATATTTGAGGCCGTCAATGTCTACTGACAAAATGATCAAAACGTATTGTTTTTGATTCAATGTGCTCAATGAAATTCCGTAATTAAAAACAAAGATATTAGAGTGGAATTTGGGGATCAATCTAATGTATGTAACGCAGGAACATCATTCCGCCCCTATACATTTCGGTCAGTGTATAAACAAAGCCAGAAAGGTCAAGTACTTAAGAGTCATCCAGTCCAACCTCCGCGAGTCATTCCGCGTCTGCACCGCGTTCGTCCTTGATAAGCTTTACTCATTGATCTGCAATGGGAGTATTGGTCCCTTCGTAGCAACTTGATACTTTTCAAAACTTTCTTTCACACCACAATGACTTAAAAGCTAGAGAGTGTGGTGCGGTGTTCTTCCACGCGACCGGCACCCACATAAGAGTCCCTACGAATTTTAAAATGCCGATTTTGTAAGATAGCCATTGGTACATGAGGTTAATGTCGAATGGTACTTCGCAACACACTAACCAACACCCCCCACCCTAGTGGCCGCCGCTAACCATACCCTTGACCCGGCCTGTGCAGCTGCGAACCACCATCGACACCCTACCCCGTCACGATTCATCCACTGTGTAAATAATATATGTATTAATTGATTACTGGTGGTAAGGACGTCTTGTGAGTCCGCATGGGCACGTACCACCACCCTGCCTATTTTGCCGTGAAGCAGTAATGCGTTTCGGTTAGAACTATAATCTCAAGGTAGGTGGCGTCATTTACGTTGTAGATGTCTATGGGGTCCGGTAATCACTTAACATCAGGTGCGTCGTTCACCCATCTAATGCAGTAGAAGATTCAAGGCATCAGATTAACTTTGACATTTACACACGTAAATGTCCAGTATAAAGCTCAACCGTTATAGTAAGAGGATTCCTAGTTCGTAGCATCCTAGGAACAATCCGTCTTATCTCGAAGAGGCCATTTCAGGAACCAGTCAACTTTTCACAGGTTTTACAGTTAGTTCCCAAATTTGATTACAAGAAACCACTCTCTGTTTCTCAATCGATATAGACAAGTCCCCTTTTTAAAGAGATCCTAGAAATCATACTTCTCAACCATTAGAATGGCCCCTCCAATTGGCTAAAGCTCATAAATCATTCGAATTTAATTTAAATATTAAGAATTCTAAAGTAATTTGCTTTGTCTATAACCTGTTCTGACTTTTTGATCTAGTTATGGACTAGTTTCGGATTAACAAATTCTAAATAGCTTAAAGTTACGGCGCTTAGTTTCTCGTATTGGTTGTTAATTTTATACGCGTTTAAAGGAGCAACTTTCAGTAAAGCTCTACCGCGAAAATACTAAGTTGCGCCTACCTACATACTTTAAATATGTGTGCTCTTGTGCAAATGCTCATGCTGTGCGGGCTGCAGGGTGGGATCGATGGAGACAGCTGGTTGCCGGAATCGGACGGAGTCACGATCCTCAGCAGCGAGGGACCGATCGAAGAGAGAGAGAGTGCAAAAGCTCTTGCTTTTAGATGCATCAATTTCAGCTGTACTTTGTCAATCAGTATTGCAGTTCTGTTAACTTGTATTTGCAATCGTGATCTAATCCATCCATCCCACAGTGAGCTTCCAGAGATCTTTTTTGCCACGTACCATCCGGTTTTGGAATGAGCTCTCCTCCACGGTGTTTCCCGAGCGCTATGACATATTATTATCCTTCTTCAAACGAGGATTGTGGAGAGTACTTAACGGTAGGCAGCGGCTTGGCTCTGCTCCTGGCATTGCTAAAATCCATGGGTGACGGGAACCACTTACCATCAGGTGGGCCGTATGCTCTACTGCCTACAAGGGCAATAATAATAATAATAAAGACTTACTTGGTAAACTTAAGTTGTGATGACGAGAGAATGTCCGCTAGGGAACCCCACAGAGTTCTATGCAGCTCTCTGACTGGCGCTCCCCACCAGCTGGCATGCCAGTACCGCACCGTTGAAGATACACAGCAGTTCACACCTAGAAAAAAAATTGATTAAGTACAGTGTCATGCACGGCTAGGTACCAACCACCACCCCGCCTATTTCTGCCGTGAAGCAGTAATGCATTTCGGTTTGAAGGGTGGGGCAGCCGTTGTAACTATACATGAGACCTTAGAACTCAACATGGGTGGCACATTTACGTTATAGATGTCTATGGGCTACTTAAGATCAGGTGGGCTGTGAGTTCGTCCATCCATCTAAGCAATAAATAAAAAAATGCAGAATAAAACCATGAATATTGATTACGTCACAAAGCATTATAACCTAACCGCATATTTGTGTTAGTATGTATATAACCAATATATATAAAAAGTGTGTAAACACTCCTAAATAGCTGTGAAGTTAGGTAGCTATCAGATCAAGGTTAAATCAACGATAGGCAAGCAAAGCGGTCCAAGCTTGACGAGCACTATATATGGTAGGAGCTTTTTATATTTCGAAGATTATTATTTAATTACTTTTTGTTGATCGTTCATCGATCTATCTATACCCAACTTGGAGGATAATGAATCTTTTTATCTGTAGTAAAGTAAATCATTAGGTTTGAATTAAGAATAACTATTTCGCTCTACGAAACCGAAATTAGCCGATTGTCTGGTTTCAAAGGTCGATGTGCAACATTTCTTGGCGGGTACTGTACAGGTCTTATGTTGACAGCTGTTTGTTTTATTTTGAATATTTATTTCGATTATTAAAATTACAATTCTAAATGCGAAACTGTACGTTGTGTCCTTTCCAAAGCGCTTGATTTTATAGTTTTAATTTATTTCTGTACGAAATATTATATCTATAGAATTACTGAAACATTTTGTTTTGAGGCCACGTTATCTGACGCGAACACCAAAAAAAGAAACTTTTGCATTATTTTGAACACATGGTAATTTCTTCCGTAAACTCCATATACAAAGTCGTGGGTTTATAGTGATGACGTCATCGGTCGAGCGTTCATATACTGCGAGTAAGTAAAAATTCTTCTAATGAACTCGACACGTGTTCTCGAGCGACTTACACGACGATGAAATAATAAGAGTATTATGTAAAAATCAAAACCCGCAAAATTTTAGCGGTAGGCAGCGGCTTGGCTCTGCCCTTGGCATTGCTGAAGTCCATGGGCGACGGTAAACACTCACCATCAGCTGGTCCGTATACTCGTCTGCCTAAAAGGTCAATAAAAAAAAATTACGAACTACTGATGGTGGAAAGAATATTATGGGTGCTAATGTCAGCTGGCACGCGTTTCGCTTTGAAGGATGAGATAGCAGATAAATTTTAAGGTGGCTGGTGAGTGGTGGCGTATGTCTATGTCTCCTGCTATTGCATATAAGCAGGTACACTGTGAGATCGTTTTCCTATCTAGTGCAGTAAAAGAATTATGCCCATACTACGTAGAGCAGGGTTGGCTAGCTTGATTAGAACTAAGATCTACTACTGTTTACTGCCGTAACACAATCTACTACTGACATTTCTTGAAATTAAGTAGTTCGGTATAGAAATAAGTAGTATATTCTCTTTTATTGAAAAGATTAACATAAAGCTGAACTTATATTATATGTTTGGAGAGATATACGACAAAGGGAAGATCTTCCACCGAGCGGGTGATATTTGCTCGGTAGACCGACGGTCCGGATGTTGTTGTTCGGAACTTGTATATATGCAACTTATCTTGAAAATGTCGTAAGCGAGATTTAGGCATCTGTCAAATATCTTGTGTTCTGTGATGGCTACCGCCACATATGTATTAAAAGAGAGCTATTGCGTGGAAGAGAGGATAAATAATGTGACGTAATGGTCATTATCAAATGATACACGATGAAGATGATGCGTGCAGCAATTGGTGATTACGTTGCGCTGTCTGTTTGTTCTATGTGTTTATATATTTTTGTCCTGCCACGATCAACTTTTCGATCGCGATCTACCGGTTGGCCACCCCTGGCGTAGAGGAATAAGAACATTTCTACCACCCCGCCTTTCTCTGCTGTGAAAGCTAGCCCGCCTCTCTGCTTCTGTCGTCGTGGCCTAAAGGATAAGACGTCCGGTGCATTCGTATCTAGCGATGCAACAGTGTTCGAATCCCGCAGGCGGGTACCAATTCTTCTAATCAAATACGTACTTAACAAATGTTCACGATTGACTTCCACGGTGAAGGCATAACATCGTGTAATAAAAATCAAACGCGCAAAATTATAATTGACGTAATTACTGGTGGTAGGAACTTTTGTAAGTCCGCACGGGTGGGTACCACCGCCCTGCCTATTTCTGCTGTGATGCAGTAATGCGTTTCGGTTCGAAGGGTGGGGCAGCCGTTGTAACTATACGTGAGACCTTAGAACTTATATCTCAAGGTGGGTGGCGCATTTACGTTGTAGATGTCTATAGGCTCCAGTAACCACTTAACATCAGGTAGGCTGTGAGCTCGTCCATCAATCTAAGCAATAAAAAAAAATACATATACCATACCTACAATAGTTTATACAGTATTAAAAGGAGTATATCAATAAATTCGCGATCGCGATCTACCGGTTGGCCACCTTTGACGTAGAAGAATAAGAACATTTCCACCAGGCGGGGGCCTTTCTCTGCCGTGAACCATTAATGCATTTCGGTTTGAAAGGTGAGACAGCCGTTGTACTATAAAACTGAGAGTTGAACTCTTACCTCAATGCTTTTAGGCGGCGCTTACGTTGTTGATGTCTATGGGCTCCTACCTTGACCTCGTCCGCTCATTTAAGCAATAAACAAAAGCTCAACTATTTTAATATGCTAAATACGAATAATTTGTTTAAGAAAAAAAAAACACTGTTTTAATAAAGTCTTAATTAAACTTATTATAATAAATTATTTTAATTTATGTGCGACTTTGCTTACTGATTAGAGAACGTTTTAATTGTCTTTGATTTTCTTTATTTTGATTACTCGAATATTTTATTCGTGGTCATTACATACACATAATTTGATTCAAGGGTGACCATGATGTATATTATTGAAAAAGCCTGAACATGAAAAATGAACTTACAAAATTGAGTCGACTATTATTTTGATAATCTGACTTTTGGACAATTATTGGTAAATCAGAAAAACGAATTATTGACTTTGTATTCCATTGGCAGTCACAAAACTCTTCGGAACGACATCTTAGATAAATAACAGGTTAACTATTAACCTTTATTTAGTGCAGGTTTTGAACCGTATTCTTTGAAGGAGACGATTATATTCAAATCAATCTGTATTGACATATCAATAACATTTTTATTGTCCAAATGCACAGATTGCCACCTTTGATAATAGACGACTCAAATAGTACAAGGATTTAAGAATGGTTTATCGAAATAATTTTTTGATAGCTTCATGAGACAGAGAAATAGAGTAGGTTTCTTAGGTACTAATAATAAACTTTTTGCTTATAAAACTTTTAGAAGTGTGTTAGTATGTCAGAAGCATGTGTTAGCGTGAACAGTAAATTCCACAAATCTATAAATCACATTTTTTTAAACATCTTATTTTAATGTAAAAAAAACCTTTATCCTCTTTCAAATAATCTGTCCGCCGAATTACATTAATAATGTGCGCGAATAAACAAACAGACAGAAAGAAAACAATTCCAAAATAGATGATTTATGTTTAACTACTCTTCTTTAGTTATCTCCTTTCTACATAATATACTTAATACTTTTCTCTAATGTATAGATATAACGGATTCTAATGTTTTATTATATGTATCGATGTTATATCTTCATAATCGAATCCGTCCATCAATAGAACATATAAGCGTCTTTGAATTGAAAACAATAAATAGCTAAATTACTGGTGGTAGGACCTTTTGTGAGTCCGCGCGGTTGGGTACCACCACCCTGCCTATTTCTGCCGTGAAGCAGTAATGCGTTTCGGTTTGAAGGGTGGGGCAGCCGTTGTAACTTACTTGAGACCTTAGAACTTATATCTCAAGGTGGGTGGCGCATTTACGTTGTGAATGTCATGGGCTCCAGTAACCACTTAACACCAGGTGGTCTGTGAGCTCGTCCACCCATTTAACCAATAAAAAAAATAAAAAAACCTATACATACCGTGTGCATCACTACCGTGAATGATTACACGATGTTTGCCTTCTCAACGGAAGCTAGATCGTTCGAGAAACAAATGCCCGTAACTCAAAGGGGAAGCGTAGTAGGAAACGATTGCAGTTAATTGCATCTTGAACGAATATATAACCTTCGCCAGTCGATTTTTATTTGTTTTAGCAAGTCGAAATGTTTATTGAATTCACAGCGATTCGGAGATCAGGCCATTTAAAAAAAAAAAAAAATTTTTCGGAGAAGCCAACATTTTTAATACGATCCTCAGACATCATAGGGGCGAATAGGGTGATCGAGCTAAGAGAAATATTGAGTACACCAATCACGTTTGTTTTCTTAGAACAATTTAGAAATCTTCTCTTGACGTTAGCAAACGAAAACGAATGACAGTTCTTAGAACTGAGGCACCGCTCTTCAAGAAGGCTGGTTGGTTAGTGTGATGGCGTGTACGCGCCTCCATCTAGGCTTTTTTTTTCATACCTAAGGAGAGTCTTGAAAGGCTATATCAGCGTAACCTTAACTAGTAGGTGAGCTCACGGGGCTCAAACCTGACGACGTTGCTAACACGAATCCTAGCAAGAGCCGTGCTTCGCAGAATCTACCACCGGATCGGAAACGCGACCCACTGAGAAGATCCGGCGAGAAACTCAGTGGGCTGTGTCTGAGGGTTAATTTACTCGTCGAGCCCTTCGTCGCAAGCGACGGGTTCGACGAGAACGATGACCGGTGCTTGAGGTACCTAGAAGCACCGTTAGTGGATCGGGAGGATCCGAAATTACGTGTTTTGGGCGACGTCGACTGCTTTCCATTCTGTCCGCAGGATCGGGAATGTAGTTACTGGCGGCCACGATGAGAGGCTCTCTCGCAGCTCGAAGTTAGCCGAGTTCCGACGATACCGCAATCGTGC